AACTTCCCAGCTTCACTTTCGTGGACAAGTAATCAAGCCAGTCTGTGCCTGCTTTTGATTTCTAATATGGGAATAGTAGTAAATGAGAAATATATCTAGAAGGAGTTTCTAAAGAAGAGCTTGCAAGGGTATTATACAACTGCTAGATAATGTTACATCATTATGTCACCATGAGAAGAATTTGTAAGGAATAACTTTTTATTCTTGATTGAAATTATATATACCTTTGCCATGTTGTTATGTTGGTTTGATTGAAATTACATACATGTTGTTATGTTGGTTCAGTGCCCCGTAGTACAGAAAATGTATTTCCTTGGTGTTAAACCATGAACATGGGCATATGCTAAACACACACGGGGTGAGGATGTGTTTTGGGAGACTGGCTCCACTATGGTGAATGATACTGCCTTCTGCCCTCTACTCCTGTAATATGGGTACAAACGTCAGTTCTGTTGTCTTTTTCTCAACGGTCATGCCAAACCTTGGTGAATGGTATCAGAAATTACTCTAGGTTTATTAAGTATAAAATATGAATAAAAAGGGATCATTTGCCTTTAAAAGTATTTTACTTTGTGTGTTTTAAAAGTTATTTTTCATTGCTTTCAAGGAACTTATTTATGCCTTAAATTTGTTATTTACCCAGTAGTCATTCGGGAGCATGTTGTTCAGTTTCTGTGTAGTTTGTGGTCTTGATGAGTTTGTTAATGGTAAGTTCTAACTGATTGCATTGTGGTCTGAGCAACTGTTTGTTAAGATGTCTGTTATTTTGCATTTGCTGAGTAGTGTTTCATTTCCTATTATGTGGTCAATTGTACAATAAGTGTGACGCACTGCTGAAAAGAATGTATATTCTGTTGATTTGGGGTGGGTGGTACTGTAGATGTCTGTTAGGTCCTCTTAGTCCAGAGCTGAGTTCGAGTCCTAAATATCCTTGTTAATTTTCTGTCTCATTGATCTGTCTAATACTGACACTGGGGTGTTAAAGTCTCCCATTATTATTGCATGAGAGTCTAAGTCTATTTGTAGGTCTCTAAGAACTTGCTTTATGAAACTGCTCCTGTATTGGGTGCATATATATTTAGGATAGTTAGCTCGTTCTTGGTTTAAAATATGTTTCATCAGAGACTAGGGTTGCAACCCCTGCTTTTGTTTTTGCTCTCCATTTGCTTGGTAAGTCTTCCTCCACCCCTTTATTTTGAAGCTATGTGTGTCTTTGCATATGAGATGGGTCTTCAGAATACAGCACACTGAAGGGGCTTGACTCTTTATCCAATTTGCCAGACTCCCACCCAATAATAGTGTCTTTTAATTGGGACCTTTAGACCGTTCACATTTAAGGTTAACATTGTTATGTGTAGATTTGATCCTGTTATTATGATGCTAGCTGGTGATTTTGGCCATTAGTTGATGCAGTTTCTTCATAGTGTTGATAGATTTTACAATTTGGTATGTTTTTGCAGTGGCTTGTGTGGGTAATTTCTTTCCATAGTTAGTGCTTTCTTCAGGAGCTCTTGTAAAGCAGGCCTGGTGGTGACAAAATCTCTCTGCATTTGTTTGTCTGTAAAGGATTTTATTTCTCCTTCACTTATGAAGACACAATGTATTAGCATCTCTGGGATACAGCTAAAGCATTGTTAAGAGGGAAATGTATAGCATTAAATGCCCACAGCAGAAAGTGGGAAAGATCTAAAATTGACATCACAGTAAAAGGAAGAGAGAAGCAAGAGCAAACAAATTTAAAAGCTAGCAGAAGACAAGAAATAACGAACACCAGAGCAGAACTGAAGGAGACAGAAACAATAAAAATCCTTCAGAAATATCAATGAATCTAGCAGCGAGTTTTTTTGAAAAGATTAACAATATCTGTAGACCACTAACCAGACTAATAAAGTAGAAAAAAAAGAAGAACCAAATAGACATAATAAAAATTGATAAACAGGATATCATCATTCATCTCACAGAAATACAAACTACCACCAGATAATACTATAAACACCTCAACACAAATAAACTAGAAAATCTAGAAGAAATGGATAAACCCCTAGACACATACACCCTCCCAAGCCTAAACCAGGAAGAAGTCAAATCCCTGAATAGACCAATAACAAGTTCTAAGATTGAGGCCATAATTAATAGCCTACCAAGCGAAAAAAGCCCAGGACCAGATGGATTCACAGCCGAATTCTGCCAGAGGTACAAAGAAGAGCTGGTACCATTCCTTCAGAAACTACTCCAAACAATAGAAAAAGAGGGAATCCTCCTTAACTCATTTCATGAGGACAGCATCATCCTGATACCGAAAACTAGCAGAGACACAACAGAAAAAGAAAATTTCAGGCCAGTATCCCTGATGAACATCAAGGTGAAAAATCCTCAATAAAATACTGGCAAAACAAATTCAGCAGCACATCAAAAAGCTTATCTACCACAGTCAAGTTATTTTGCCTATTAGTTGATGCAGGCTGGTTCAACATATGCAAATCTGTAAATGTAATCCATTACATAAATAGAACCAATTACAAAAACCATATGATCATCTCAATAGGTGCAGAAAAGGCCTTCAACAAAATTCAACAGCACTTGATACTAAAAACTCTCAATAAACAAGGAATTGATGGAATGTATTTCAAAATAATAAGAGCTATCTATGACAAACCCACAGCCAAAATCATACTGAATGGGCAAAAACTGGAAGCACTCCCTTTGAAAACCCACACAAGACAAGGATGCCCTCTCTCACCACTGCTATTCAACATAGTATTGGAAGTTCTGGCCAGGGCAATCAGGCAAGAGAAAGAAATAAAGGCATTGAAATGTGAAGAAAGGAAGTCAAATTGTCTCTGTTTGCAGATGACATAATTGTATATTTAGAAAACTCCATCGTCTCAGCCCAAAATCTCCTTAAGGTGATAAGCAACTTCAGCAAAGTCTCAGGATACAAAATCAACATACAAAAATCACAAGCATTCCTATACATCAATGATTTACAGAGAGCCCAATCATGAGTGAACTCCCATTCAAAACTGCTACAAAGAGAATAAAATACATAGGAAGACAACTCACAAGGGATGTGAAGGACCTCTTCAAGAAGAACTACAAACCACAGCTCAAGGAAATAAGAGAAGTCACAAATATGGGAAAACATTACATGCTCATGCATAGTAAGAATCATTATCATGGAAATGGCCATACTTCCCAAAGTAATTTATAAATTAAATGTTGTCCTTATCAAGCTACCATTGACTTTCTTCACAGAATTAGGAAAAACTGCTTTAAATTTCATATGGAATCAAAAAACAGCCTGTATAGCCAAGACAATCCTAAGCAAAAAGAACAAAGCTGGAGGCATCAAGCTACCTGACTTCAAACTATACTACAAGGGTACAGTAACCAAAACAACATGGTACTGGTACCGATACAGATATACAGACCAATGGGACAGAACAGAGGCCTCAGAAATAATGCCACGCATCTACAACCAGCTGATCTTTGACAAACCTGACAAAAACAAGCAATGGGAAAAGGATTTCTTATTTTAAAAATGGTGTTGGGAAAACTGGCTAGCCATATGCAGAAAATTGAATCAGTGCACCTTATATAAAAATTAACTCAAGATGGATTAAAGATTTAAACATAAGACCAAAAACCATAAAAACCCTAGAAGAAAACCGAGGTAATACCATTAGGGACATAGCTATGGGCAAAGACTTTATGACTAAAACGCCAAAAGCAACGGCCACAAAAGCCAAGATTAACAAGTGGCTAAACTAAAGAGCTTCTGCACAGCAAAAGAAACTATCATCAGCGTGAACAGGGGATATACAGAATGGGAGAAAAATTTTGCAATCTATTCACCTGACAAAGATCTAATATCCAGAATCTACAAAAAATTTAAACAAATTTAAAATTAAAAAATAACAACCCTATCAAAAAGTGGGTGTAGGATATGAACAGACAGTTCTCATAAGAATACATTTATGTGATCGACAATCATGAAAAAAGGTTCATCATCACTGGTCATTAGAGAAATGCAAATGTAAACCCACAATGAGATACCATCTCATGCCAGTCAGAATGGTGATCATTAAACGGTCAGGAAACAACAGGTGCTGGAGAGGAAGTAGAAAAATAGGAACCCTTTTATACTGTTGGTGGGAGTGTAAATTAGTTCAACCATTGTGGAAGACAATGTGGAAATTCCACAAGGATCTAGAATCAGAAATACCATTTGACCCAGCAATAATGTTACTAGGTATATACCCCAAACATTATAAATCATTCTACTATAAAGACTCATGCACACCAATGCTTAGTGAAGCACTATTCACAATAGCAAAGATTTGGAACCAACCCAAATGCCCATCAATGTAGCCTGGATAAAGGAAATTGGTATATATATACTATGGAATACTATTCAGCCATAAAAACAAAGAGTTCATGTCCTTTGCAGAGACATGGATGAAGCTGGAAACCATCATTTTCATCAAACTAACACAGGAACAGAAAACCAAATACTGCATGTTCTCATTCATAAATGGGAGTTGAACAATGAGAACACGTGGACATAGGGAGGGGAACATCACACACTGAAACCTGTCGGGGTGGGGAGCAGGGGAGGGATAGCATGAGGAGAAATACCTAATGAAGATGACAGGTTGATGGATACAGCAAACCACCATGGCACGTGTATACCTATGTAACAAACCTGCACATTCTTCACACGTATCCCACAATTTAAAGTATAATAATAATAATAAAGTTACTTTTCTTTTCGAAGCCTGTTGATTTAGAAAACAACTTAGGAAAAGAAATATGCTAATATCATTTTCTATCAAATATGGAGCATTATCTAATGTACATAATCATGAAAGAGATTTTTGATATTATATATTTTGAATAATATTTTAGTAAATGGAATCTAGCATTTGAAAATTATAAAGGCCCACATGGATACATTGATATGACATTTAAAAGTGAATGTATATGTTATTTTATTTCAGATTAAGTCTCTCAGCAAAAATCTGTGAGAAAACAGTCCTGAAGCGAGTTTTGAAAGAGTTATGGAAGCTAGTTCTCAACAAAATAGAAAAACAAATCGTTCTTCCTACTCTGACAGATCAAACAGTAAGTATATAAAGTTTAGTTTTGCTTTCACTAACCCATCTTTTTTTGGTTTAAGTGCATGGTTTTCATACAGATGAAATACTAATTAAATCCATTTTGGGAAAAAGCATTTGTTATACAGTTTCTTAACAATGATCATTCAAATTATAGTTTCATATCCAAGTCAATGTTAAATAGTGGCAGTAGCAGTCAAACCTCACATAGCTTGACATTCAGAACTAAACCTCTGAAAACACGTATCAAAGTTCCATTTATAGAGTTATCTGGTCTATACACATAATTTTTATTTAATTTTACTGACCTCAAGAAAATGGAATTAAAATACAATGTATCCACTGTGCTTCTTTCTTACATTTTGCAGTTTTAAGAGATAGTTACATAACTGCTTTTTGGATTTTTTTTCACCTTTCTATTTTGCTTTCATCTCTTACCTCCCCAGTTGGAGGTTAATAGAGGAGGCACTTTTAAGTGAATCTGAAGAATGTGATTGTATCACACAAAGAAAAATGAAAAAGAACCAGAGAGATCAATTGACTGCAAAGTTAGACAGTGGTCAAGTGGATACACAGAGACAGGCATATCCTGAGTCCAAGGGAAAAATGACACTAACAAGCACCTGTTGTGGGGAAATTTATTTATTTTTCTCTGTGAGGAAGACAAATTGATGCAAATAATGAGTAAGTATAAATGGAATTATTATACATTAGTTATACACGCTCAGTCCATGTTTAACTAGTGAAAGCCTATGCCTAGAAATCATTTTCTTATAAAGTGTTCCAGGATGCAAAGATGCATATATTTTTGTTGATTTACTGCCAGACAGTGAGTGATAAAATATAAAATACTGTGAGTTTCACTTAATGCCATGAATGTGTGGTTTAATCATTTTATAGCCTACATATATATATATATATATATATATATATATATATATATGTTTGAAGGCACATTTATAAATACACACACACATTCTGCTTCAACACATAATATATTATTATTATTATTATTATTATTATTATTATTATACTTTAAGTTTTGGGGTACATGGCAGAATGTGTAGGTTTGTTGTAGGTATACATGTGCCATAGTAGTAATTTCTATAACACCACTTAGCATTCATGTAATTGTTCAACATAGGAATATCAGTATAATCTGGAAGTTGGGTTGGTTTATATATAAATTTCCCTACGTTGCAGGCTCTGGAATATAAAAGAAAAACTGTAACTTCAGCATAAAAAGGAAAGAGCTGACACCTTGGCTACTTCACAGAACTGGTTTAAAAAGGAAAAAAAGAGGAGAGTGACTGTATATGGGCTCCCTCTGAAAAATTGAAACTTGCATGGCTGTCACACCTGGCAGGCCACCTCCCACCTCTGCTGGTAGCTCCACTTGCATGGGCATTATCTCAGCCCACTATTGAACTCTTGTTTTGCTGTTGTTGTTTTGTTTATTTTGCATTTCTAATATTCCTTGAGGCAACCATCAGCCTCAGTGAATTACCTGCTAGCTGTCAAAGCCATTTCCAAAAGTAAGACTTATGGTCTTGATAGTTCTTTAGTAACAGGATTGCAAGGGCTTGGACTGTTCTGCCCATTCCTGTTTTTCCCATAAGCCCCATTATTTTTAGTGTGCAATTTTATAGAATATGAGGTTTTTCAAGAATGTATATATTATGTTACAGTAGAAATGCTATATATGACATTTCACTTTCTGTATAAGATTTCCCTTAGGAAAGCTTACCATCATCTAAATTTTTCTACTATTGAGATATACTAGTATGAATGCATATCATCTATTCATTCATTGAATAAATATTCTTTGAGTTCCTACTATGCACTAGGCACTGTGCTAGGTGCTGGGACAAAATGCGAGCAATATTAACCACTGTTGCTATTCTTCAGCTTATAGACTTTAATTCTGCAATAAATATGTATACTCCAATTTAAAAAAAAAAACAGATGATATTAGTTCAGAAGAGCCGATTTTTGCTCCTCTGAAAATATTTTAAGCAATAATAAACTTGGCCAAATTTAATACTTTTCCAGTCACATTTACCAACAGACATGCCTCTAATTTTTCATTCTAGTAAAGCATTGGATGATTTATTCCTGTGTTTTTCAAATTCATTTCCCCAGGGCTTTGGGGTTCTAGAGAAAGCCTCTGGCTAATGGAGGGGTTAAGAGGGTAGGTCACTAATAAATTGGACAGCATTTTAGAAGGAGCATTTCCACCTTCTGTAGCCCCATATCTTCAGATTTTGCATACCTTTTTCTTCGTGGAGTAGAATGAGGAAGTTGCCTTTGCTAAAAATAATAAAAGTTAAAGATCACAGATTTAATCCATATACTACATTAAACTGGCTACATGAGTAGCAACCCATTCATGAACCTAAACTTAATACTTTCAGAAGTGGGACACCTATGAGGACTGTTACACTGCCGGTGATGTTAGATATATCTGACCCAATCTTTAAAGTAGACCAATTAAGGGCTTCTGGCACAAGCCATAACTCTAATAAGGAAAATAAAAAAATCCTCTGTTGACTGCATTTCTGTTGTGACTAATAAAGAATATCTTAAGATTGAGTCTTCTCTTCCTTTTTCTTTGTTTCTAGGGACCCCAGATGATTTTCATTGCAGCTAAAGATCTTGGACAATTATCCAAACTGAAGGTAATAAAAATAAAGAAATTACTCATTCATGGAAAGTAGTGAGTTAACCACAATTCTGTAAGAAGCCATCTGCCTCCTAGTGATAGTATCTAGCATGGCAAGATTCAGATGTATGTCAGGCTAGAGCAGTGGTTCATGCCTGTAATCTTAGCACTTTGGGAGGCTGAGGTGGGTGTATCATAAGGTCAAGAGATCGAGACCATCCTGGTCAACACGGTGAAACCCCGTCTCTACTAAAAGTATTTAAATTATCTGGGCATGGTGGGACACACCTGTAGTCCCACCTACTCAGGAGGCTGAGGCAGGAGAATTGCTTCAACCCAGGAGGCAGAGGTTGCAGTGAGTCGAGATCACGCCATTGCACTCTAGCCTGGGTGACAGAGAGAGACTCCATCTCAAAAAAAAAAAAGATGTATATGTCTGTGATTTCACAATCTGCTTTAAGAATTTTTAACTTTGTACTGTAGCATTTAGCATTATTGCTTCTGGATTAAATTAGAGAGCATATTTTCTTTCATATATTAAACTGGCTTGATATGAACAAAGACAAAATGGAACACTGCAGAGAAAGCCAATGAAGTCTAGAGAAGTCTGAAAACCAAGAAGCACAGTACGGGAAAACGAAACTCATGAAAGCAGACACTGAACTTGTCAACATGGTCAATCCCATTACAAGTGGCGGATGTTCTGACTAAATGACCCTGTGTTTAGCTATAATTTTGAGATTCCCAAAACTTTGGTGTTATGCAGGAAACTCCAGTCCCTGTTCTTCTAGAATAGGAACTTGACTGGCTAAAATACATGTTACTTTTATTCCATTTCTGCCTACTAGACTATAGTTAAGGGATCAGTTCCAGACACAGGTAACCTTGGTTCAGATTCTTCCTCAACTGCTTCCGACTATGTGACATGGGCCAAAGCATTTAACCTTCCTAATCTTCAGATTTGGCACTTGTAAAATGCAACAATAATAATAATAATAGTTACAAGGATTGTTGTGAGTATAAATGAGACAACACAGACATTATCTTTGCTTGGTAACTGCAAAGAGTATGTCACTTCCCACTTGCAGAGGGAGTTATCTCCATTTCTCCCCTAGCTGGTTAGCTCAAAGTTAGGTACCATTGCATACTGGATTATTTCATGTGTGCAGTACAGGGGAAAAACAAAATGTATAATAATTTACTGAGATAAATATGTGCCTTATAATTTCAGTATTCTATTTATCATCTACGTTATTCCATTCCTAACAAAAACATTAAAAGCAATAATCCATCTGGAATATATAACTATCACCTAAAATTGTTACTCACAGATGTTTAGTGCTGTTGATGGTTGCAAGGAAAGATAAAAGGTAGATGTCACTGCCAAACTATTACTTTGGATCTTGGATCTCTCTCCCTTTCTTTATCCTTTTTATTACTTCCCAGGGATTTCTGGAGCCTACTTTGAAAAGTAGATTTATACACTGCTGCAGTTTCTCACATAAAACCATGAAGGTGAAATAACATAGGTCTTATTACAAAAGAGATGGCCCTGGCCATGCGTCTAATATCTGTGTGATATTAGTGAGCACATTCCATCTCCCCAGGCTTCAATTTCCCAAGTTGAATGTTCTGTCAGCTAGAACTGTTTCAGTTTCAAGTGATGGAAAGGCAAACATAAGCAAACAGAGAATTTACTGCTACATGAAATTTCATAGTCCAGGGGTAACTGGTATCTGGTACTGCTTGATGAGGGATTCAAGCGATGTTCACACTCGCTATCACTCAACTATGCCCTTCTCCTTGTTTGATGCATTACTATAGCAGAACTTCATGTCTGTGTGTAAGATCATTGTCTCTGCTTTCACATCCTTTGATGTAACATCCTTTGGACTTCACATCTTGTAGAGAAAAATACCCATCTCAGTGCAGGGAATCATAGCAAAGTCTTCTGGCAAATCAGGCTCTGAGGAAGCATTATTACCATTCCCAAACCAGTCACTGTGGCCTGAGAAGTGGCATGTGCCAATTGGCTTAACTTACATACTCACCCTGAGCTTTGGGTACAGTCAACCCAACCCAAATCTTATGAATTCTGATCAAAATTGACACTGGTTTTCCAGAGGAAATGTACATGATCCATGGGAAAAATCAGGGTCCATAGAAAACATAACACTTTAGCGTGCTTTGTGGTCCCATTTTTTTTTTCAATTCACTGAATTCTTTTTTATTCTAATAACCTAAAAGCACACTATCAACACAATGACCTAGCAGGATTATTTCATCAACACTGAAATAATATGAAGGACTAAAGATAGAGTCTTTGTATCTATTGATGAAGAGAAAAATAACTTCGTTCTGGATCATATCCATTATTGGCTTTTGAGTTTTTTATTTTTAAATTATCCGTCCATTTAGTATTATTATTTGAATTACAGAGCAATAAATCTCCTACAACATTATGCAAAAAAACGGAAACTTTAGCTGGCATGAAGAACTTCAGATTTTATAAAATAATTTCCTCTTATTAGAATATCACTTCCATTAAAAAATGTTTAAACTATGGCTCTTTAATTTTTAATATATTAGTTTGAAAGCAGATTTGACGTGCTGAAAAGGTGCTATTCAAAATAATTGTACTGATAGAAATTTCCAGAACTGTTATTTAGAAGTATTTATAGATAACTGCCTAAAGGAAGACAACATCAAGAAAAATAGAAAAATGTAGGGAACTAATTGGTTTTCTGTGTTTGGATATGATTTAGGATTAACTCGCTAAACATGTATTTATTCAACAGTTTGACATTTTCTATTATTTTATACTTTGAAACTTTATAAGGTTCCAGATATATATATATATATACACAC